GCGTGCACACATGCACGCAAACCGAGGACCGAACCTAAGGCATTAAATGCCACTCTACCAAAACATGGCAAGGATGAAGTATGGAATTTAAACATGTAAATTTTAGCACTGAAACATAACGCTAAATGGTCCCGAATCATGCAAACACGGCACCCGATGCATGGAGTAAACCCCGAAACTCAAAACTAGACACATGTATTGACTTGTAGCTATACAAAACATGCATTATTTGACCATGAAGCACAAAGACAGAGCCAAGGCAGTCCCAAAAAATGAACATTTCTAGTTCAAAGTATGACCAAAAGATGCTAGCATGATGGACTAAAATAGTATGCAACTTTGACTAGCAAACATGGTTTACATGGCATGCATATGAAGCATATGAAATCTCACCAAACCAGCAAAAATCAGTTAATAAAACATGCTAAAATAAGTCTAAATAATCACTGAAATGCAGCCAACATGTGCAAAAATGAGGGGCTTCTTTGGAAGGGCATACAAGGGGTAATTAAGCACATGCATCAAGGACACTTAGCATGGTACAACCAACTTTGGAAATCAAATATGACAGCCCTAAAACTCACCAAATTGACCCTGAAATTGGTTTAGGGAACATGCAAAGAAAGGCCTCTTTGAAGGGCCTTGAATGGGATTGGTCTACACATGCAACATAGACCTAAAATATGGCAAAATGGGCCTCGGACAGAGCCAAGGCAGACCTCAAAACCCTCAGAATGAGGCCTGAAATTAGACTTCGATGCATGAAAAATGGGGTCCCTTTGGGAGGCCCAAAAGACGCCCAAACAAAACAAGGAGAGAGGGGGTCACCCCCCTCTAATTTTGGCCCTCAAAAATGCATCAAAGCCACTAAAAATCCACTGGATTTCAGTGGCTAAGAGGGCAAACCATGGCCAATGCAAGTGCTCTAATGTATGGCCCTAATCATGAAGGAATGAAGCATGCATAAGGAAAGATGACCCCAAACAGAGAATAGACCTTAATCAAACATAAAGATGATATCAAAATAGGATTTTTTTTGGTTTAGGTTGAGGTCTAAAATGGCTCACAAATAAGGCTAATGTATCATGCAAAAACAGCCCTAAAAGAGAGATTGAACAAACAGGGCAGTAAAATGCCTCAAACAGCAAAGGGCCCTTCAACAAAGTTGAATAGAGGCTCAAAACAAGATACTTTACAGTTTATGGAAAATCTTGAATATGCTCACAAGTAAGGCTAAAATATGATGCAAAAATAGCCCTAAAAGAGAGATAAAGGGAAAGGGGCAGTAGATGGCCTCAAACAGTAAAGAGTCCTCAACAAAGTTGAAGAGGGGCTCAAAATAAGGTACTTCACAGTTTGGCTCGAAGCCCAGAAATGCTCAAAAATAGGGCTAATAGATCATGCAAAATAAGCCCCAAAAAGGGATAAAGCACAAAGGGGGAGTAGAAGACTTCAAACAGAGAAAAGTCCCGAATCAAACATGAAGATGAGCTCAAAATAAGACTTTTTTTAGTTCAGGCCGAAGCCCAAAAATGTAAGCAAAAGGGGCTAAGATATAGAACAAAATATTGCAAAAATGGGGAGAATAGGAGCTTACCCTTGTAGCCTAACTTTCCAACAGCCTTTGGTCCAAGGAAAGGAGCTTTCAACCTCTGCAAATGACTTCCAAGGAGCTGGAATGGATGATGGTGGTGTGGTGCTGTGGGTTGTAGTGTAAATGGACCAAGGAAGTTAGGGTTTTGGAGCTTGGAATGGTAGCAATGGAGCGAGAGGTGTATATGCCTTGGTCAAAAGTGTCTAACCCTTGCAAAATGAGGTGGGGGGTTGGTTATATAGAGGGAAAGAAGTAAGGCTTCTTGGAGAAGCCAAGAGAGGGGGTCAACGCTTCTCAAAGAAGCTTTAACCAAAAAGGTCAAGCTTCTTGAGGAAGCTAACAAAAGAGTCAAGCTTCTCCAAGAACTTAAGCAAGGGGGGCAAAACCAATTAAAAAGGATCAAAAAGAGGCTCAAAATCTCGGACAGTGGGTCAAGTGCTTCACAGCTGGCACAGCTATGTTGCACTTAAGAAGAGCAAAAAGCAGAAAGCTGGCCGACCAGCTAAGGTGGCCGGCCGGCCACTCCCCATGGTCGGCCGACCAGGGGTCAAAAGGGTCAAGCAAAATTGCTGGTCGGCCTACCCAGAAAGGTGGCCTCCCAGATGTGTACAACACAACTGTATGGTCAAAACCTAGAAAATGTAATCCAAGAGAGAGAAAAACTAACTTTTTAGAGGGGTTCAAAAGGGCCAGGAACAATTGATGGCCGGCCTATCCATATTGGTGGCCTCCCAGGTGTGTACAGTACAATGGTGTGGTGGAAAGTCAGAAAAAGTGGCCCGGGAATGGAAAAAGTCAGTTTTCTAGTGAAGAAAACGGGCGATGAAGAGCGATGAAGGAATAAAGCTGGTTTTCAGAACAATTGCTGGCCTCCCACCCTTCTACAACCTTCCTAACAATGAAAATAAGGTCTCTTCCAAAAATGAACCCAAACCGATGCAAAACGAAGGTTCGGGGGCCAAAACGCGCGGCTCGGGGCCCTGAAAACTAACTATTAAGCACCGGAGGTGGTGTTTGACCACGAAGTTGGTCTCTCGGACCACAGTGTCCCTAAAAAGGGAGGAAATAAGGTGTGTGCCAAAAATCGGAGCAAACGGAGGTGGTTAAGCGGTACCGAACCGAGGCACACGGCCGACGGCTCCGAAAAACCAGAAACTGGGCTCCAAACGGAAAAAATGGCCTACGACCACAAAACGTAGCCTACGGCCATTGAGAGATGGTCTACGAGACCTCTCCCTCCCTTCGGGAAGAGAAAACAGAGAAAACGGGACCCGGTTCACAAACCGAGGCAAAGCACAAAAGAGCCCCGAAGTCGGGAGGCAAGACTCGCAGCCGAGACTCTAAAACTTCAGAACTAACACAACATGAAAAATCACCAAGCGCTCAATCAGTGACGACCGAGTCTTACGGTCGGTCAAAAATGGGGTGTCTACAACAGGTTCTCCTACTTCAGCGACAAATGAGAAAGAAAATGGTGAATCTCCAATCCTGGATACTGAACCACAAAGTCAAAGAGAAGCTGTGGTCCAATCACAAGAAGTTGAGATAGCACCAACTTCTCAGGTAAGTCAGAGTCCAAAGTGTGCACAAAGAGACACCACTTCTGAGGCTTCAGTCACCACAAGTTCTGAGTTCAAACCATCAGCAAGGGCGAGACTAAATCATCCATCTCAACAGGTGATTGGAAGTGTCTCGGATCAAATGAAAACCTGAAGACAAATTCGGGATGAGGTATCTCATATGTGTTATGTTTCATTAATTGAACCTAAGAATATAAAAGAGGCCTTACTAAATGATAGTTGGGTCAATGCTATATATGAAGAATTAGGTCAATTTGAATGTAACAATGTTTGGACTCTAGTTCCCAGACCTAGAGACATGAATGTAATAGGTACCAAATGGATCTTTAAGAATAAATCTGATAAGAATGGTACTGTGGTTAGAAATAAAGCTAGGTTGGTTGCTCAAGGGTACACATAAGTAGAGGGTGTTGACTATGATGAGACGTTTGCCCCTGTTGCACATGTCGAATCTATTCGTATTTTACTTGGTGTTGCATGCTTTCTTAGTTTCAAAATTTTCAAATGGATGTCAAAAGTGCCTTTCTGAATGGGTACTTGAAAGAAGAGGCTTATGTTAAGCAACCAAAAGGGTTTGAGGACCCTAAATGTCCAAACCATGTCTACAAGCTAGACAAGGCTTTGTATGGGTTGAAACAAGCTCCTCGGGCTTGGTATGATAAACTTACTACCTTTCTTCTTGATAATGACTTTCAAAGGGGTAGTGTGGATAAGACTTTATTTGTGAAACATACTAAGTCTCATATTCTTGTTGCTCAAATTTATGTTGATGATATTGCGTTTGGATCCACTGCTGATCATCTTGTGAAATATTTTTCGAATTGCATGACACATGAGTTTGAGATGAGCATGATGGAAGAGTTGTCTTATTTCTTGGGTCTTCAAATTAAACAGTCCTTCAGGTATGTTTGTTTCTTAGACGAAGTATGTCAAAAATCTTGTGTCAAAGTTTGGTCTCGAGTCAGCCAAACATGCACGCACTCCCATGAGGACCAGTCTTCACCTCTCCAAAGATTCCTCTGGTACTGATGTTGATCCTACCCTGTATAGGAGTATGATAGGGAGTCTCTTGTACCTCACTGCCAGTTGCCTGTCATTGCTTTTAGTGTAGATGTTTGTGCCTGTTACCAAGCCTGTCCTATAGAGTCTCATCTGATTGTTGTCAAACAGATCATAAAATATGTGAATGGGACTTTAGGGTATGGGATTTGGTTCTCGACCGAAAATCAAGTAACATACAATACTACAAGTCGAAGAGAAAAAAATAAAAATAAAAATAAAAACTATAAATAACAGAACCAAAAAAAAAATCAAACTAAACATTAGACTTACTCATGCGGGTTGGATTTATGGGCGGACTCCGTTTACAAACTTTTGTTTAAAACCCTAAATCATCTTTTATGAGTTGGGATGAGTTGGACACTCAAGCGGACTGAGATGAGTCATGGAATGAGTTGGTCAAGTTGAATAATATCAGGTATTTTGTCCGCGGAACATTTAGAGACCCCTAAAGGTAACAAAAATAAGCATATCAACCCACAACACACTCTCATATTCAACATTGAACTATGCCAATAGAATTAGAAAAGCCTATTTGTTAAATATATAATTAAGTATAATGGACAAAACGAAAGATTTATAAATGTAGGCAGAATTCGTCAAACCACATAAAATTTGGTTACTTCTTGTCCAATATTTATTTTTTGCTTAATTATTTATTTATTTTTAACTATTAAATTAGCACATTATTTTAAACCAATCAAAACTTATGTTTTTCTTACAAACTTTGATAGTGTGTGAATAGTACATACTACACCAACATATAATAATAATAATAATAATAATAATAATTTTTTATTTTTTTTAAGGATTAGGTGGAGACTAGAAAAAACAAGGAGTCACAACAGCCAATATAGGAGACCTCTTGTGGACTGTCAAACCAATAGCTTCACTCATGTCCAAATCCTCTCCTCTTGCTCCATTAGGGGCAGCAAAATCAAACTTGTACACAGGATTTGCCAATGCAAGCTCATCCACTGCTGTGGCAAATTGAATTCCAGGACAACCCCTTCTCCCAGCACCAAATGGGATTAGCTCGAAGTCATGCCCTTTGAAATCTATTGAAGTATTCAAGAACCTCTCGGGCCTGAATTCCTCTGGCTCATCCCATGACAATGGGTCTCTCCCAATCGCCCAAGCACTTGTAATTACTTGTGTGCCAGCTGCAATGTCATACCCCATTAACTTGACATCTTGGGTTGATCTTCGAGGAACTAGCAATGGAATAGGAGGATGTAGGCGCATAGTCTCTTTGATCACGGCTTTTATGTAGTGAATTTTCTATAAGTCATTTTCAGTTATGTATTGCTTGCCGTTCCCTATTCGTCGCACTTGGTTCTGAAGTTCCCTCAAGACTTTGGGGTGTTTCAATAGCTCTACAAACACCCACTCTAAAGCAGAGTACGTAGTATCAATTCCAGCAGCAGATATATCCTACAACACATTCAAATTTAGCATTTGTCAAATAATTCAATTGGTTTTGGCTTTTTAAACAAGAAATTTTGGTGATGTTATATCACATTATTACCTAACAATGAGGAATTTCACATCGCAATAGTGGCGACTATATGATTAGGTTAGTGAGGGACGAAAAAATCTCAACCTAATAGTACTTATTGTATTTTCAACAAGAATTTTTGGTGTTTGATTTTCCAATGATAGTTTGTAGGGTAAATGAATTTTTTTCTCAAACCATGTCATCAAATTTGTGGAGTAAGTAGCAGATATAACACGTATTATCAACAATGAATAATCACACATTATGATAGTGAGAATTACATAGCAAAGTTAGTGAGAGACAAATGATGTACACCTAATCCAATTTATAATATTATATTAGAGTAATGCTACACTTGCCATCTTTTTATACCACCTTCAATTTATTATCTCATGTGTTAGCACATTATTTGACATAAATATGAGTGGTGAGCGACACTAACATTTTGCTCAAATTCACCGTTGTTGAAGATGAAGAACATGATTGTTTGATCTTCTCTATCGTAAGGGGTTGTTTCTTCTTCCCTCACAGCGCAGAAAGACTTTACCTGCTGGAAATGCGGGGTTAGAAAAATAATTGATGTAAATTAAATGAAAAACTTATAGCAATATAGAGATTATCCAAAATAAAGTCACAAGCAATTTGATGATAGAGATACGTATTCTCTGAGTATGTGACTCTGTGCACTCGTAAACGTGCACTTGTAAATGTAATTGTGCCACGATTAAATTTTTGTCATTTCAAAATCAAATACAAAATTAAATATTTGATTTGCATCCATATTACATATTATGAAAAATTATATCGGTAGTCCCTATATATTTATCATTATAATTTCAAATAGCTCAGTTTCAACCATTAGTTTTATATTTTCTATCAATTTGATCCAATTGATAACATCAATTTGATCCATTAGTTTTATATTTATCATTAGAATTTTCTATCAATTTGTCGAGGACATAGTTTTTAATCTCGACAGTATCAAAGTCTGAGTGTGGTTCGCAGGTTTGCAGGTTTTGTGAGTTGCAGAGTCGTAGTTTGCAGGTTCTGTGTTTGCTGGTTTGCAGTATTCTGCAATACTGTGTTTTTCTGGTTTCTATGTGCTCCAGGTTTGCAGGTCTTGTTGTGTTGCCGCAGTGTTGCTAAGTGCTGGATCACTGGTTGTGGGCTGCAGTGTAGTTTTGTTATGCTCTTGTTATGCCCTGAATTTGGGAGGATTGTATTTCAACAGATCACTAGTTGTGGGCTGCAGTGTAGTTTTGTTATGCTTGTATTTCAACAGTTTGTGGGTCTCAGAAGTCTGAAGTTGGAGTCTGCTACTAGGTAGCTCCTTTGCTGGACTGCTTCTGTTATGGTCTGCTTAGCTGTGTACTTGCTGGGTGCTTCTGTCTTCATTCAAGTTTCTTGCTGGGTGTTTCATTGGGTCGAATGCCAATGTGTTACGGTCAATGGGTTGCATGCACATGGGTTGATTGGTAATGGGTTGAATGCCCATCAGGCTCCTACCTGGTTTTGGTGGCAGCACCTTTTGTTTTTGTAGCAGCACCTTTTGTTTCTTTGTTGGTTCCTCACCAGCAGGCGCTTAGAGCTTCGTGTTAGCTCTAAGCTCCTCTTTATTGATGTATCCAATCATACTTTGTACGTGTCATCAATAAAGATTTATTTGCCGATCAAAAAAAAAATTAGAATTTTCAAATAAAAAAATGGTCACTGAGTTAGTTGAGGATAACTTGCTGAGATGAATAAGTTTATAATTTTATCTATAAAAGTATAACACATACAGTCATGTGCATATTTTCCATAAAATTACACTAACAATTGTAATTAATTAGACCAAATTTAGACAAAATCATGAAATCATTATCCAAATTGAGATAATTAAAATTATAAAAATAAAAATGACATGAAAACCAAAATATAATAACTAGTACAATAATATTTGGACAAGGGTAGAAGATTGAGGGAGAAAAAACAACACTAAAAAAGAAGCTCCTTTCTTATTGAAAACCTGAAATATATTCCTATAGATCATCTCATGCAATCATATCAATTTATTATTTGAAAATAATATTTTGTATATATAATGGACTCATGAAATAAGAATTACACAAAAATCCAACCGTTAGACTACTAATAAGTTCATAGAAAATTGTACGGTGACTGGGATTGCTCTATTTATGTTCTATGTGGCTGATTTTGTCCATATTATTTAGCAAATAAATTCGTATTTTAAAACCATACAATGAGAAAACATCAAATAATTAGAGTATCGGCCTGTTGTTTAGGAGCTGCAACACACATAAGCTCCTCATCTGCCTCCAATACTCGCGATATCGCGCGAAAGCCACATCCCTGGCTTCATACGAGAGCTTGCTAGTAATGCTCAGTTTAGACCGGTGGAGAAAGTGAGGTCATGGGTTTTCATGATTTCCGGCGCTGCTTTTGCAGACGAGACCACGAGAACTGGCATGCTACCAAATTGAAGTAGCATGAAAGGTCCGTGTTTTGGGGATAGCGATAGGAGGGAGCGGTGAGGAAATTGGCCCATTTGGTGGAGGTTTCCGATGATTGGGAGCTTTGAGGGAGACGGTGGTAGGTTTTTGTTTTGTTTTGGGGTGGTGGACAGCCATTTGAGAATGAGAAGAGTGAAGAAAAACAAGGGAAGAAGAGAGAGAAAGAAGGGATGCAATAAAGAAAACATTTTTTGTTTCTCTATATGAGTTGCAATTTCAAACTTGAAAATTGTGTGTATGTGCATGCAAGTCATGATTTATTTGGATGAATATGTGTGTTATATATACACACACTAGACGGTGTGAGCCACACACTTGATGAGTGTGCTACAAAAATCAACTATTGATTGTAGGAGATAAAAAAAAAATTATCAAAATTTGAAATTCAAAATCAAAACTTCACTTATATAGAGCCGGTTGTAAAAGGCTAATTTGATAATAGAAAAAAGTGACAGTTTATATTAAAAGAGTTAGGAAAATGCTATACGCCCCAAATTTTCTACTAAATAAATGATCAAATGTCTCACATGGGTGTGTGAGACATTTAGTCATTTATTTGGCAGAAAATTTAATACCACTAGCATTATCCAAAGAGTTATATGTTCTTTATATAACAATATAGATATACTTATATTTAGAAAAGTAAATATCAATTTTATTATTAATGGCTATGAAAAGTTTCAATTGTTCCAACAAGAGTTCAAGTTATTGACTATACATAGAGTTTTAGTATGATCTGGTTTCTTTCTAATCCTAAGGACTAGAGTGGTCCAGTTTGTAAGCTATGAGCGCAGTTTGTGTCTATCTGATATTAAAATCAATGCCACACATCCAATCCAATATCAATAAAAATTGCAGAAGTAATAAATAAAACAGATACATCATCGTCTCGAAACATGGATATATACATTGATTTTTCCCCCCCTGCAATTACTGTAGGTAAATCCACAAGTATAGGCAATTAAAGTTGATTTGAGAAAGAACATGAAATCATTGAGTAGAGAGTGACGATTACCAAAATGCAAATCATTCATCATTTCCGAATCACATCCCCAATATATAAACATGTTATAACAATCAAAAACACATCCCCAATAAATATATATATAAAACATTTCACTTCCCCAATATATAAACTGGCTATAACAATAAAAAACACATCCCCAATAAATTTTTAATTAATCTAAATCTCTGACATTTCACATCCCCAAAGTGCATATATATAATACACAGTAACAAAAATAGGTTATAACAATCAACTAGGCTCAACATTTTCCACCGCCACCAAGATTTATGACTTAAAGAAATGATAGGGGGTTAGAGAAGGGGAACGAGAGAGAATGATTGAGTTTTTGTACCCTGAAGAATCCCCAATCAGCGGGAGACAGAGAGACAGACAGACAGAGAGAGAGAGAGAGAGAGAGAAATTGAGAGACATACTTGGGGCAATGGATCGACGGTGGTGCTCCTGTTCGCCGAAGGCGATGCTCCTTACCCGACAGCGATAGAGACTAACACACAGAGATTTAATATAAGGAAGAGGGCAGAGCTAGAGGAGTGAGAGAGAGAAACAGAATGAGAGAGACAGAGGCGTGCGTGAGAGAGTTAGATTTTAAGAGTATCTTAAAACTGACATCATTTCTAAACCTCGTTTAATTATTTTTTTCCTGACGAAGTAATCTTTTGTCGCCAATAAGGCATTGTTTCCCGACTCTCATACATTTTTGTTGCCAATTAATTTATCAATCCCTTCAAAAATTGAACTCTTCTCTCCAAAACTTTTAAATTACAATTGGCTACTAAATTTTAGTAGCTAAAAGTGAAATAAATACTGACTAAATTGTTTTTGGTAGCTAAAGATTGTCCATTTATGGACCAAATTATTTTTTAGTCGCCCAAAACCCAATTTTCAATGAATCTCCAATAAATTTTTAATTAATCTAAATCTATGAAATTTCACATCCCCAAAGTATATATATATATATATATATAATATAGTAATAAAAATAGGTTATAACAATCAACTAGGTTCAACATTTTCCACCGCCACCAAGATTTATGACATAAAGAAATGATAGGGGGTTAGAGAAGGGGAACGAGAGAGAATGATTGAGTTTTTGTACCCTGAACAATTCCCAATCAGCGGGAGACAGAGAGACTAACATACAAAGATTGACTATAAGGAAGAGGGCAGAGCTAGAGAAGTGAGAGAGAGATCGTGCCTTCAGGATTAACTCTCTCGGTGTAGCGACGCAGCTGAACGCGTTGATTATGCGACTTGGCAAGCTTCCATGGCTTCAGTGGAATCGACCTGCGACTCGGCACTTCAGTGGAGTTGACCTGCGACTCTGTTGGTTTCTTTCCAGAAAGGAGATAACATGCTTGTGCGGATTGCTGGGAACCACGGATTTGCTCAATGTCGTGTTCGGTCGGGAAGCGTAGCAGCTGATAATAGGTGCTTGGGATGGCCTGAATAGTATGCAACCAAGTTCGCCCTATGACGAGATTATACTGCGAAGGGAGCTTGACGACCACGAATTCCACGTCTACTGTTTGGGAGCCCGCTCGAACAAGAAGTGTGATTTTCCCCAACAGGTACTCTGGATTTGCGTTGAAGCCAAATAATGGATGAGGAGCTGGCGACAGGTTTTATTCATTGAAGCCGAGTTTGAGGAAGGTCTCGTAATACATAACCTCTGAAGTGTTCCCCTAGTCTATGAGGACGCGTTCAACGGTAAATCGGTTTACGTGAAGTTCAATGACCAATGGATCGATATTGGGGAGTGTGATGCCGATAAGATCGGAATCGTCAAAGCTAATACTCAGAGCTTTGTGGGGCCGTTTCATCGGTGCGCATCGCTTCCGAGGGGCTGACTGAATTGCTTGTACGGTAAAAGGCGTTGGAAGGCTGTATATCATATGAATGACGCCGAGCGGAAGTGAATCCTGCCGAAGGGCAACTGTTTTGATGGCGCTCTTTCGAACATGTTGCTGGAGCCGACCATCTTGCACCAATTCCTCAAGGTGGTATTTCAAA